GCGACGGCGACGACGACGACGACGACGACGGCGGCGGCGGCGACGACGACGACGATGACAACGACGACGACGACCAGAGAGAAAGAGAGCGACGAGTCTGAGCGAGGCGGAGTATATCTTCGAGCTCCTCGACGTGAACGATTGTGGCGAGATCGGCGTGGAGGACTTCGTGGCCGCCTGCATCCGCCTGCACGGCGGGGCCAAGTCCATCGACGTGCTCACCGTGATGCAGGAGAGCCTTGATCCTCGATCTTCGATCCCCGATCTTCCTCCTCCTCGTCCTCCTCCTCCTCCTCCTCGATCCTCGACCCTTGATCCTCGATCCTGGACCCTCGGCCCGTGATGCAGGAGAGCCGGCACAGCTGCAGGAAGCTGGAGGAGGTGTCTGCCTCGACGCTCGAGCTGGCAGTAGGGGAACAAATAATGGCATGCATATTCCTATTCATCTATTTCCCAACCATCCTGTGGTGTTGGGTCCTCGCTTTGAAGAGACGGTCCCCGCGTTCCTCTCTCCTCCTCCTCCCCCCTCCTCCCTCCTCCCGTCACCCCCGTCATTCTGGCACACCCCTCAAACGCTTCGTGCTCCCATAGGGAGCTCCACCGAAGGCCTCAGTGGGGGTGCCCGCATGCGTCCCCCCCACCCAGTGCAGCGTTTCGTGGCCTCATGGGGAGCTCCACCGAGGGCCCCAGTGGGGGTGCCCACATGCGTTCCCCCCACCCAGTGCAGTGCTTCGTGGCCCCATGGGGAGCTCCACCGACGGCCCCAGTGGGGGTGCCCGCATGCGCCCCCCCCCCCCCCCCGGCTCAGCACTGCGCTTCGTGGCCCCATAGGGAGCTCCACCGAAGGCCCCAGTGGGGGTGCCCGCATGCGTTCCCCGCACTCAGTACAGCGTTTCGTGGCCCCATAGGAAGCTCGACCAAAGTCGCCAGTGGGGGTGCCCGCATGCGTCTCCCCCACCCAGTACAGCGTTTCGTGACCCCATAGGGAGTTCCACCGAATGTCCCAGTGGGGGGGGGGCCCGCATGCGCACCCATCAACACAGTACAGCGTTTAGCGGCCCCACAGGGACAGCGTTTGGTGGCCCCGTAGGGAGCTCCACCGACGGCCCCAGTGAAGGTGCCCGCACGCGTCTCCCCCACCCAGTACAGCGTTCCGTGGCCCCATGGGGAGCTCCACCGAAGTCCCCAGTGGGAGTTGTACCCGCATGCGTCCCCCCCACCCAGTGCAGCGCTTCGTGGCCCCATAGGGAGCTTCACCGACGGCCCCAGTGGGGGTGCCCGCATGCGTCCGCCACACCCAGTGCAGCGCTTCGTGGCCCCATGGGGAGCTCCACCGAAGGTCCCAGCGTGGATGCGCGCATGCGTCCGCCACACCCAGTCTGTACAGCGTTTCGTGACCCCATCGGGAGCTCCACCGAAGGCTCCAGTGGCAACGGCCGCATGCGTCTCCCCCACCCAGTACAGCGCTTCGTGACCCCATAGGAAGCTCCACCGAGGGTCTCAATGGCACTGCCCTCACACGTCTCCCCCACCGAGTACAGCGTTTCGTGCATGCGTGTCCCCCACCTAGTACAGCGCTTCATGGCCCTACAAGGGGGCTCCACCGAAGCGGATACCTACAACTGCGGTATTCACAGTTGCATGTGGTTGGGTCCTTCGCCAGGCTAATTTTACAGGGCCGGGGACGCCTGGAAAAACGCCCCTCCCCCCCGTAACGAATTTGGCCCTCCCCGGGCCTCCGGGCAACCCGGGAGAACTTCACGAGAGCCCGAAGACGGCCCCAGACGGGTTCCAGGCGTTCCGGCGAGCTTCCGAAACAACCCCAGAGAGCCCCAATACGGTCCACGACGACCCCTGAGAAGCCATCATACGCGCAAAGATCGCTCCGAAATGTCCCAGGAGGCCTCCAAGGGCACTCCCAAGAAGGCCCCAAGAGGCACAAATAATTGATTTTCTTTGGGTTTTCAGTGAATTTGGGGGATCTCCTCTTCTCGGATTCCCGACGCTCCAAGACGGCGGTCTTCTGGGCGTCCGAAGCCGCCTGGGAGGCTTCAAAATCGCCACACAACCATCCGACAGGGCTTCCAGGCAGTCCAAGAGAGCGCCAAAACGGCACAACAGTGGTCAAGATGGCTCTGAGAGAGCCCCGTTGCGGCCCAAGATGGCCCCAAGACACCCTCCGAAGCATTCCAAATCGTGACCCGCTCGTTCAGGGAGACCGCGTTTGGAGGTGGCCCGAGGAAACCCCCAGAGACCCCCAGAACACGCCCAGGAGGCCTCCAGAAGGTTTTAAGATCGAGGAATTTAAACCTCGAGCCTCAAGCGTGGTTTACGCAAGGAGTCTTAAGGATTCGTACGGGAGCCCCAGGAATTCGCAGGGATTCGTGGGGATTCCTAAAGATTCCTGGGGATCCCCAGAGGTTCCTAGGGATCCCGAGGGATCCGTAGGGATTCTGTGAAATTCCGAAAGGGATTCTTAGGCATTCCGAGTGGTTTCCTAATGGTTCCTATGCTTTCCTACAGGTTTGCTAGGGGGTCCTAGGCTTTCCTATGTATTCCTGAGGATTCCTAGGCATTCCTAGGGATTCCTCGGGATTCCTAGTCTTGAACGCTGCGAAGAGCCAAAAAGCGGACATGCTAAAAATATACATCCCTTCCAGGGAATGTGACGATGTTTGGTTTTTCAGGGCCCTCTTAACAGCCTCTTGGGTCGTCTTGGGGGCCTCTTGGGCCATCTTCAGACCATCGGGGTTCCTCTTGGGGCGCTCTTGTGCTGTCTTGAGTCTCTCATAGTCTCTCTTGCGCCTCTCCGATGACCCCTCTGATCGCCTTGAGTCTGCTCGCAAGGCCTGGCAAGGCGCCCTGGGAGGCCGGGAAGGGCGTCCAGGGCGTCCAGGCCGCCGAGACGTCCGAAAGGGCGTCCAGGGCGTCCATTGGGGGGGTGTCCGGTTTAGGGGTGTGCGGGTGGGGGTGGGGCCCGGGTAATAAAATATAAGAATAGGAATATACACAGGGAAGTTGGAAAAAGTGTCCTGGGCCAGCCCATTCATTGCATTTCCAACATCCACTGCTTCAGGCTTCCATGTAAAAGCTCGGAGGTCCGCGTGGATTCCTCGGATCCGCGCCGGGGGCCCCTGGCGCTCTCCGCGCGCCAGGCAGGGAAGCCCAGCGCCGATCCGAGGAATCCGCGCGGACCTCCGAGTCGTCATGTTCGTGCCAGTGCTTGCTCCTCCAGGCAGACAGCGTGGGCCTCTTGCACGAGGGACAGCGACAGCTCGCCAGCGCCCTGGAGGAGCAGCGGCGGGGCCCACAGCCGGCAGGGTGGGCGGGCGATGCGGAGGCCTGCCGCACCCTCGACAGGCTGGAGGAGCAGCTGCGCTCGGTGGAGGACGCGGTGCAGTCGGTGCTGCAGAGGAGCAGCGACGTCCGCCTTCTCGAGGCGCTGGTGGAGACCTTCGTGGCCGGCGGGTGCCAGCAGGCCGGCACTGGAGGTTCCGAGGCCCCCAGCAAGGGCGCCCAGCTTGGCCTTCGGGGTTGCGACGAGGAGATCCGGGGAGCCTGAGCAGCGGGAACGGAACGCAGGAACGCCAGCACGCAACACCGACCACCAGCTCGCAACACCGACCCTGAGCAAAGTCCTGAACCTCGTCTTTCTATTTGCGCCGCCTCGTGTACTAGTTCGCACACGCTTTCTGATTATGCCAAGTCGTGTGCTAGTGTCTAATTCACCATTGCATTTCTTCTGTTGGCGCCTGTTCGTCCCCTATTCCACCCCTACCTCCCACGCCCACGCGATGGGAGCGACTGTCTCCTGCGCCTTGCCCAATGGGCACGGCGTACTTCGGTGCCCGGTACCGGCGCCACTCCGCTCCGTTTCGCTGAGCAGTGGACGGGCGGAGGAGGAGGAGGAGGAGGAGGAGGAGGAGGAGGAGGGTACACCAAGGATGCATCAACGATGCTGCAACAGGCCCTCTCGTCCCAAGTCCCCCCCCCTTGAGCCCCTGCAGGTGCTCCTTCCCACTGCGGGGAGCGCCCCACTTGAGTGACAGGCGCCCTGTGGGCCTGCAACTCGGGCGAGACCCCGTTGTGCAGAGGATCGACACTTCATCCCCCTAGAGGTCTCAGGACCATGCTTCCTTCTCCTCCTCCTCCTCCTCCTCCTCCTCCTCCTCCTCCTCCTCTTTCTCATCATCTTCTTCCTCCTCCTCCTCTTCCAGGAGAAAGTTCAAGGAGGTATCCAGCAGCGGTAGCCCCGTTCTGAAAAGTGCCAGCCGCCTTTGCATGCAAGGGGTGCACACGTTCAAAGTCCTGGCCATGCATTCTGCGGAAGTCTCAAGCTAACACCCCATGTTGAAAAGGAGCCACCTCTCGTCTCTGTCACTGTTGCGTCATTCGGAACTTATTCGGTTTATAGAGTGTGACGAAATCTCAAGCGAGAGCCACCTTTGGAAACGAACCGGCCTCCATCCTTGTAAGTGTTGGGAATTGTCCTAACGAATGTGCGGCGCTAGGGCGCGGCCGAATTTTGATCCCCTCAGAGGTGGGCCGAGCGCTCCGCGCTTGGCCAGCTCCAGTGTTCTGTGCCAGGAAAGGGCGTAAAGATTCCCCTCCTTTCTCGTGTAACTGGTGGATTGTTTTAAGACGAATGCGGCCGCCGCTAAGGCGGGAGCTGCATTTTGAGAACGCTCCGGCATCCATCCTTGTACTACGAATGTGCGCGGCACTGAGGCGGCAGCCGAATTATGAAAACCAACTGCCCACCACCCTTGTGGTTCAAAACGAGTATTCGTTGCGCTACGGCGAGAGCTGCATTGTGAAACATACGGGCCCTCCATCCACTTAACAATTTGAGCTTGTTTAGCTTCAGGATTGCAGCTTGTCCTGCCCTCTCGAGCGAAACGCCGGCCCGGGCCCACGGACACGTCTGGTTGTGCGACAGGTGGGAACATGAATTTCAAGGAAAAGTGATTGTGGAGGAGGAGGAGGAGGAAGAAAGCTTTCCGAGAGCCTCGAAGGGGTGGCAGCAAGCCCCCCGATGTGGTCTCGGCGGCCCAGGAATAAGTATAACCCTCGGCCGATCAGTCCAGAACGTTCAACGACAGTTTAGTATTATGGGTTACTTGACATTGTCCATTGATCCAAGAAAACATTTGGCCGTGTTCGTTATCGAAGACGCCTACGGCGAATCACCGCCGCCCCCTGCCCCTTTGGAAGCGCCTCTGTGGCCGACAGCTGGGCCAGAGCCTTGCCAAGCTATCGGGCCAGTTGTTCCCCGAGTCGGTTTGGAAAGACTTCGGGGAATGTATGGGGGAGCAAGAAGAGGAGAAGGGGAGGATGAGGAAAAAAGAGGAGGAGGAGGAGGAGGAGGAGGAGGAGGAGGAGGAGGCCTCTTGGGCGCCTCTTGGGGCCTCCCGGGAGCTTCCTGGGGGCCTCTTGGAAGGTTTTGGGGGACTTTGGGGACTTCGTGGGGGCCTCTTTGGCCGTCTTAGGGCGTTCCTGGCTTGTCTGACGCCGTCGGGAGCCGTCTTAGGGGCTTGGGGCCCTCTTGGGGCATATCAGGGGTTCTTAGAGGCCATCTTGGGCGTTTTGGAGGCATTTTGGGCCGTTTGGGGGCCCTCTTGGGGCAGTCTTGTGAGCCGTCATGGGGCCGTCATGGGGCCATCTTGGAGGCCTCTTGGGCGATCTTTGGAGCCTCTTGCGCCGTCTTGAGCCGTCGGAATCCCGAGAAGAAGCAAATGCCAAAACATTTCAAACAACCTTAGGACAATCAATGATTTTGGCCTCGTCGTGCCCTCCTGGAAGACCTCCTGGACGCCTTTTGGGCCGTCCTCGAGGCCTCTCGGGGGCGTCTTGGGCCGTCTTGAGCCATCTTGAGGCCATCTTAGGACGTCTTGGGTGCATCTTGGGCCGTGTTGGTGGCATCTTGAGGCCATCTTAGCCGTCTTGGAGGCCATTGTGGCAGTCTTGGAGGCCTCTTAGGCCCTCATGGGGCCGTCTTGGGGGCCTCTTGGGCCGTCATGGGGCCATCTTGGAGGCCTCGTGGGCGATCTTGGGGGCCTCTTGGGCCGTCTTGAGCCGTCGGAAGGCCGAAAAGAAGCACATGCCAACACCATTGAAAAACCAAAGGATTTTGGCCTCTTCGGGCCCTCCTGGAGGATCTCTTGGAGGCCTCTTGGGCCTTCTTGGAGGCCTCTTGGGGGCCTCTTAGGCTGTCTTAGACCATCTGGAGGCCATCTCAGCACGTTTTCGGTGCATCTGGAGCCGTGTTGGAGGCATCTTGGGGCCATCTTAGCCGTCTTGGAGGCCATCTTGGGCGTCTTGGAGGCCTCTTAGGCCGTCTTGGGGCCCTCTTGGGGCCGTCTTGGGGGCCTCTTGGCCGTCATGGGGCCATCTTGAAGGCCTCGTGGGCGATCCTGGGGCGATCGTGGGGGCCTCTGGGGCCGTCTTAAGCCGTCGGAAGGCCGAAAAGAAGCAAATGCCCAAATCCTTGAACAACCACAGGGAAATCAATTATTTGGGCCTCTTCGGCCCCTTCTGGAGGACCTCCTGGCGGCCTCTTAGGCTGGCCTGGAGGCCTTTTGGGAACCTCTTGGGACGTCTTGGGTCATCTTGAGGCCATCTGAGGCCGTTTTGGGTGCATCTTGGGCCGTGTTGGAGGCATCTTGGGGCCATCTTAGCCGTCTTGGAGGCCATCTTGGGCGTCTTGGAGGCCTCTTGGGCCGTCTTGGGGCCCTCTTGGGGCCGTCTTGGGGGCCTCTTGGGCCGTCATGGGGCCATCTTGGAGGCCTCGTGGGCGATCTTGGGGCGATCGTGGGGGCCTCTGGGGCCGTCTTGAGCTGTCGGAAGGCCGAACGAAAAGAAACAAAGGCCCAAATCCCTGAAAAAACGCAGGGAAATCAATTATTTGGGCCTCTCGGCCCCTTCTGGAGGACCTCCTGGAGGCCTCTTATGCTGTCTTGGAGGCCTCTTGGGGACCTCTTGGGCCGTCTTGGGCCATCTTGAGGCCAACTGAGGCCGTCTTGGGTGCATCTTGGGCCGTGTTGGAGGCATCTTGGGGCCATCTTAGCCGTCGTGGAGCCATCCGGGGCAGGACAGACCTTTTGCAACCACCTCTGGAAGACTCTGGGCAAATCTTTCCGGTTGTTCGGCGGGACGGGCCGAAGCCCCCGGGGGAGTTCTTTTGGAAAAAGGTCCAACACCAAAACCGAGAGGATTCAGCACGCCAGGCACCCTTGCGATGAATCGACAGGGGACGGCGGATCGAAGACGCCTACGGCGAATCACCGCCGCCCCTTGCTCCTTTGGAAGCGCCTTTGTGGCCGACAGCTGGGCCAGAGCTTGGCCAAGCTATCGGGCCAGTTGTTCCCCGAGTCGGTTTGGAAAGACTTCGGGGAATGCATTGGGGAGCAAGAAGAGGAGGAGGGGGAGGATGAGGAAAAAAGAGGAGGAGGAGGAGGAGGAGGAGGAGGAGGAGGAGGAGGAGGAGGCCTCTTGAGCGCCTCATGGGGTGCTCTTGGGGCCTCCTGGAAGCTTCCTAGGGGCCTCTTGGAGGGTTTGGGTGGCCTCTGGGGGCTTATTGGGGGCCTCTTTGGCTGTCTTAGAGCGCTCCTGGCTTGTCTGACGCCGTCGGAAGCCGTCTTTGGGGCCTGTCTGGGTCGTCTTGGGGCCCTCTTGGAGCATATCAGGGGTTCTTGGAGGCCGTCTTGGGCGCCTTGGAGGCCCCTTGGGCCGTCTTGGGGGCCGTCTTGGGGGCCTCTTGGGCCGTCATGGGGCCATCTTCGAGGCCTCGTGGGCGATCTTGGGGGCCTCTTGGCAAAAAGCAAATGCCCCAAATCCGTCAGAAAAAACCTAAGGAAAGTCAATGATTTTGGCCTCTTCGGGCCCTCCTGGAGGACCTCTTGGAGGCCTCTTGGGCCGTCTTTGAGGCCTCTTGGAAGCCTCTTGGGCCGTCTTAGGCCATCTGGAGGCCATCTTAGCCGTCTTGGAGGCCATCTTGGGCGTCTTGGAGGCCTCTTGGGCCGTCTTGGGGCCGTCTTGGAGGCCTCTTGGGCCGTCATGGGGCCATCTTGGAGGCATCGTGGGCCATCTTGGGCCGATCGTGGGGTTCTCTTGGGCCGTCTTGAGCCGTCGGGAGGCCGAAAAGAAGCAAATGCCAAAATCCTTGAAAGAACTAAGGAAATCAATTATTTGGGCTTCTTCGGCCCCTTCTGGAGGACCTCTTGGGCCGTCTTGGAGGCCTCTTGGGGGCCTCTTCGGCCGTCTTGAGCCATCTTGAGGCCATCTGAGGCCGTCTTGGGTGCATCTTGGGCCGTCTTGGATGTATCTTGGGGCCATCTTAGCCGTCTTGGAGGCCTCTTGTGCCGTCGTGGAGCCATCTGGGGCAGGAAAACCCTCGGCAACCACCTCCAGAAGGGTCTGGGCAATCCTTTCGGGTGGCCAGCGGGACGCGCCGAAGCCCCAGGGAGAGTTCTTTTGAAGAAAGAACCAGAACCAAAACACAGAGGATTCAGCACGCCAGGCACTCCTCTTGCAACAGGGGGCGGCGGATCGAATGGCCTCCGGCCCATCCCGCCACCGTTTTTGCGTTGTGGGTATGAAGCCTACAATGGGGGCCCATGCCAAGAAACACCCTGCTTACCTCCAGGGTGCCCTCGGTTTCTTGGGTTTCGATGGTTTTTGCCGTGGACAGCGTGACGTTCCCTCAACAAAAAACGATGGACGTCCTGGGGTCTCAGGGTTGGGTTGCTTGTGGAAGGTTTCCTGTGGTCGGGCCTCCACTGTATTCGATGTTTGTTGGGATCAGTTTGGAGGCCTCTTAGGGGCCTGTTTTGGGCCTCTTGAGGGCCTCTTGGGGGGCATCTTGTTGGCGGAAGGCTCGAATTTGCGGTTCGTGTTCCCTCTCTTGGGCCCCTTTCAGGGCCGTCTTGGGGCCTCCTTGGGCCGTCTTAGGCGCCTCTTGGGCCGTCTTGGGGCGCTCTTAGGCCGTCTTGGTGCCCTCTTGGAGGTCTCTTGGGCCGTTTTGGGGTGGTTTTGGCGGCCTCTTGGGCCGTCTTGGAGCGTCAGAAAGCCGAAAGGGCGAGAACGCCAACAGCTCGTTTTCAATTGAAAAACGCAAGCGTCAGGAACGTCAATGATTTTGGGCGGCTTCTTGGAGACCTCTTGGGGCGCCTTGGCGGCCTCTTGGGCCGTCTGAAGGGGCCATCTTGAACGTCTTTGGCCGATCTTTGGGCGTCTCGGGTCCATCCTGGACCGTCTTGGGGGCCTCTTGGGGCCTCCTTGGCCCGCCTGGATGCCCTCTTGGGGCCCGAAGAAGTCATGCGACAGGATGCCGGGAGCTCCAGGAGGCACGCGCCAAGCCCCAGGGGATTTCGGACATGCGGGCCCGGGCTCCTTGCGAGGACTCCTCAGGAGGGAGGCTTGACGCTTCGTGGATGCTTCACAGGGCCTGAGGGCACGCACACTCCGTGCCCAGAGGCACGATGGCGGGCTCCCACAGAATAGTGGACCCGCGCTCGTTATCTCCAGTGAATGGTGGATCCCACTCCGTTGCCCCCAGGGAGCATGGTCCCTGTACATACTCCGTCGGAATGATGGACCCCTGTCCGCTACTCCCCTGGAGTAAGGGACCCTTCTTCATGATTCCCAGGGAATCACGGACCCCTTTCGAGCGTTCCCAGGAAACTGATGGACCCGTGTCCATTGTTCCCAGCAGTTGATGGCCCCCTGTCCGATATTCCCAGGAAGTAGCGTACCCCTGTCCACTATTCCCAGGGATACAGCCCAAGTCTGCCATTGCGGCGCCCAGAAGAATGACGAATGATGCAGAGGAGCACAAGACCACCCGAGCTCGAGCCTGGTTCGTACTTGCTTATTGAGGAAATCCCGCGCGAGACGCTAACTTCTCTATTGTTTGGAACCGAGTTCGAGCCTGGCTCGACACTGCTTATCGAGGAAGTCCCGCACGCGATGCTCACTTTTCCATCGCTTGGAACCGATTTGGGAACCTGGTTCGAACATGCTTTCGAGGAAGTCTCTCACGGGACGCCCGCTGTTCCATTGTTTGAAAGCGGCTTTGGAACTTGGTTCGGATGTACTTTTCGAGGAGGTCTCGCACGGGACGCCCACTTTTCCAGTATTTTATTTGAAAGCGACTTTGGAACATGGTTCGGACTTGCTTGTCGAGAAAGTCCCGCACGCGACGCCAGCTGTTCCATTCATTGTTCGGGACAGACTTTGGAACCTGGTTCGGACTTGCTTGCCGAGGAAGTCCCGCACGAGATGCCAACTGTTCCGGTGTTTGGAACCGATTTCTATTGTTTGGAACCGGCCGGGATTTGGCTCGAGTTCTTCGTTGGGGAAGCTCCAAGGGGTTCGCCGTTTTGGAACCGTTATCCCATTTCGTTTGGGGGGGGGCCAAAAAACATATGGAGGTACATGCCTGAGTTTGCCCGCCCTCCGTTGACGTAGCTCCACTCTCGTCTCATTGTGCCAGGCCCCGCGCGCCTAGCGGAACACTTCTGGTCCGCGCTGCGCCATTTTGTCAAATTTTGATAAAATCAGATCAACAATATGGAGAATTGCTTCATTATTCCCCGGGAATAATTGTGGCGTGTCCATGGTTCCAGCGAACAACGGACTCTTATTACCTATTCCCCATGAACCCGTGCCCATTATTCGCACGGAGCGAAAGACCCTTGTCCATTGCTGCCTGGGAATAACGGACCCATGTTATTCCCCGGGGGTTGCGAACCCCTGTTCATGGTTTCCAGGAAGTAACGGACAATTGTTCAATGCTCCCATGGAATGTCGGACCCGCCCCCAATCTTCCCAGGGAGTAATGGACCCGCGTCCAGTATTCTCAGTGCCCCTATCCGTTACCAAGAAATAACGAATCCCTGATCATTATTCATATGGAATGAATGGGCCCTTGCCCACTGTTCCAAGGGAGTCGCGGACCTTTGTTTATTCTGCCAAGGACGTACTGGGTCCTGATCCAGTATCTCCACGGATAAGTCGACCCCTGCTCACTGTTCCCAGGGAAGAACGGGCCCCTACATCCGCTATTCCCAGTGAGTCACGTACCGCTGTCCATGTGTCCAAGGGGATCGCGGTCCCCTGGTCATTCTTCCCAGGGGATAGTGAACCTTTGTCTTTATGTCCAGGGGTTGATAGAATGTTGTCCATTATGAATTACTCCCATCGAAGAATTATCTCCTGTTTGTTACTCCCAGGGAAAAGCGGAACCCTGTTCCTTTTTTGGGTTAGTAATGATGTTCCCCCCTTCTCTGGCGAGCCCCAGCTTAATAATTAAAACCGACCCACGATTCAACGAGAACGAAACCCAATTGATCATTCCGGAATGATAGTGGCGTCTTCCTTCAAGGAATCCGCCGGATTGGGAATCTCCTCCAATTCATTATTCTACAATTTCGACCTTTCTTCGTTATTCCCACGGAGTGCGGGGACAGGGGCAAATTCGGTTTTTGGTCCGTTTCGGCTTTGGATTCGTTTCGGCCTCAGCCAGTTTCGGCTTTGGCGCATTTCGTCTCGGTTTTTTTCGGCTCAGCGCGTTTCGGTTTTGGCTCGTTTCTGTTCTGGCCGGGTTCGGTTCCGCCCGTCTCGACTTCAGCCGGCTTCGGACAAAAAGCAGTGAGGCCGAAGCGAGCGGATGCGGCCGTGACGGGCCGGAGCCGAAACGGGCCCATTTCGGCTCCGGCTCTCGGAGAAGGCCGAACGGGTTCGGGAGCCCAAGCGAGGTTCGGGAGCTTGTGGCGGAGGAGGAGGAGGTGCCCCTAGCCATGCAAGGTTCCCACGAGTGCATTACAACATGTTATGAGAAGAAATGCGAGTGAAAGGATTCTTCACGATTCGCGTATCTCCACGCTCTGAGTGTTGCAACCGTGTACAGCCCGTGTCTACCGCATCGCACTCACTGGGCCTATTCGACGCAGGCGCCTGAGCGGTGGAGTTCGAGGGCTGCGCGCTGAGTGGTTCAGCCTTCCGCGTCTTTTGCCTCTTGTTTTCCACCGCCGGCAGCCCGGTTTCCCGGGCTGGTGTCTCTTAGCTCGCCGGGCTGGCTGCTTGGAGTTTGGCGCCGCTCTGGCGACTGGCGACTCACTCCGTTGCACTCGCACTCGCGGCCGCTTGTACACTTTGGTTTACTGGGCGGCGCCTAGGTGCGTCTGCTGGGAATGCAGGGCATTTTGTCCAGTGCGTGTGCAACTGCGCGCTTGTTGTGCAGGTGCGATCCGGCCTGCCAACGTCGCGGTTGGGGTCGCCGATTCGCTTTGTGCCGCCCGTCCTGGACATCGCCTCTCGCCGCCAGACCGTTGTCGCGCGGCCGCAGACCCCCCAAAAAAATATCTCCACGCTCGTCCACGCGGCGGGCTCACGCCGTTCGGCTCACGGTAACTGATCGACGCCGACTCGCAGGCCGTATGCGGTTACACGTTGCTTTGCACGTACTCCGAGGACGACGGGTTCCTGGTGCACCTGGCCGTGGTCGTAGGCTTCTGAGCTGTGCCGCGTTAGTCGCCTGTTCTACTTGCCCGTCCGCCGCCCGCGCTTTTCCCCCTGCTCTGCCTCTTTTCCACGCTTGCCAGCTGTTGTTTAGGCTTTCGCCCTGCACGTTGGCCTGGCTTCATTCGACAGTTGACGCCGCGCTGCTGCCCGCTAGCGGTTGCGAGCAAAAAAGTATCCCCACCAGTTCGGCTTTGTCTCTTTTCGCCTTCCTCTTCCCGTGCGTTAATTTAGGGCGTCGCCTCTGTGCTTCGCCCTTGACGCCGCCCGACCATTTCGCCGCGGTCGCGATCAAAAAGTACCCCCGCCAGTCCGTTGAGAAACCCTGCCCGTGAGAGTTGACGGGAAAAGCGACGACGAAGAGTCACGCATAGCGAAACAAAGCGGGCAACCCGGATGAACAGAGAGATCCGTGGGATCAAGGGGGTCGCTTTGGAAGGCCTTTTCGAGCCATCCCTGGGGCCCGCGTGGGGGCGAGGGGAGGAGGAGGAGGAGAAGGAGGAGAAGGAGAAGGAGGACGATGATGAGGAGGATGCATACCGCCTCTTGGGGCCCTCGTGGGATGCTTGTGGGGCGCTCTTGGAGCCGTCTTGGGGTCCTCTCGGGGCCCTGGAGGGCCTCTTGCGGCCAGTTTGGAGGCTATCGTTCAAACGAGGGGGGGCGTCCCCGATGTGCCTCCCCACCGGGGCCATCAAAATTGCCTCTCAGGGCGCTCTTGGGCCGATCTTGAGTACTCTTGGGACCATTTTGGTTTTTTTTTGGGCCCTTCTGAGGGCTCTCGTGCCATTGCTGGGGTTTCAAAGCGCATCGGAAGCGAAAAGGCGAGAAGGCCCTAATCATTCATTTCGTTTGAGTTTTTGAAGGATTTGGACCTCGTGGGGGGGCCAGAAGGGGGCTTTGAGAGCACTTGGAACCGTCTTTTAGCCCTCGTCGGGCCTCTTGGAGATGTCGGAAGCTACTGTTTCGAAACATGTTCGGCTGTCTTGAGCCGCCTGGGAGGTCATTGTTGAGCATCGGAGGCTGTCTTGGAGCCATCTTGGGCGGGAAAGAACCCTCTGACACATCGCGGCTTCCGCCGAGCAACTTCAGGGAGGGGAGGAGGAGGGTACCCCTCGCCGAAGGGAACGGGTTTTAGAAGAGGAAAGCAAGATATCGTTAGACCACCTACGCCCAAATGGCTGGTGGGATTACGCTCGCCCACTAGCCAACTCCGGCCAACTTTTCAGGCGAGGAAATGCGCGCCAGAAGCCAGCCACAGCGCGCTCGCACTCAAATTGCTAAAAGCAATACAGGCAGCGGGATGATCGCCGCACGCGAGCCGACACGCTTGGAACGAGCTTCTTGGTAACATCCTTGGCAGTGCGACGAGCTCTACCATGTGAGCAGGCACGCTCGGAGTGAGCTTACTGCCAGCAGCGCTGGTAATTCGATGCGCGATTCTTGCGAGCTGGCACGCTTGGCGTGCGCTTCCTGGCCGCAACGCTGGCAGCGCGAAGCGCAGTGGAAACAAGAACAAGCCGACACTTTCACAAAGCTCACGGGGGAGGCTCTGGACTGACACGGGAGGGAAGAGGGACGGGCCTTGCAGCGGGACGCTTATGAAAAAAAGAGATGTTCGTGCTGGAATTGAGCTCGCACGTTCGGACTGAGCTTCCTCACATCCTGGCAGAACCGTTCGCAATAGAAGGATCGTCGGACGCAGTCCAGCACACTTGGAAAGATCCCCTTGGTAACATCCTCGCAAGCATCGCCCGCGCAGCGAAGTGCGCCAGGCGCGAGCCGGCACGTTCGAACAACCCCACATCCTGCTGACCTCCCTCCTCCCGAGGTCCCCGGACTCCCCTGGATCTCTACTGGGTAGCTGTTCTCAAGGGTTCCAGGATCGGCAGGAAGCGGCGCTCCTGGCGCCGCTCGAGGAACTTGGGGCTCCCCCATCACTTTTAACTTGAGTTTGAAGTTTCGCTGGACGCGAGTCGCGAGGCAGCTTCGCTCCTTTTTCTCATGTCAGCCAGTTCCGGCCTTCTCATCGTCTTCTTCCTCCTCGTCCTCTTCGTCTTCCATCTCCCCTTCCTCCTCCTTCTCCTCCTCCTCCTCTTTCTCCTCTTCTCCTTCTCTCTTCTCCTACTCGTCCTCCCCCGCCATCAGGGCGGGGCGGCATCCCAAGTCTTGCGAGGTAATGGTCCTATCTAGGAAAGAGCGCGCACGCAGAGCCAGCAATACAAAACGAGGGGACCCAGTTTCCCCCCCCTCTTCCTTGGAAAGAGGGGGGGGGTTCCAAAGCTCCCCCCCTCTCCCCTCCCCCCCTTTTGTCTGCATCTGTTAGCTACGGGGGGGGCCGGTTAAAGAGGGGGGGGGGCTTGGAAGCTACCCCCCTTTCCCCTCATGTTCGGGGCCTGGGGTGAGCCCGGGCTGACCCCTCCAAAAGGAGGCGAGGCTTCCGAAGCTCCCCCCCCTCCCCCCTTTTGTTGGCATTCTGAAGCTGGGGCCCCCCTGGCTAAAGGGGGGGGGCTTCGAAGCTACCCCCCCTTTTGTCGGCATTTCCAGCTGGGGGGGCTTCGAAGCTACCTCCCCTTGTCTCTCGTTCCCAACCCTTCTGCATTCGGTTCTCGTTTTGAATATATAGCTGTGCGTGCACGTCTCCTTCCTCCCGCCTCCCTCCTGTCTTCCCTCCTGCCTCTCACCTCCTCCTCTCTGGTCCAGCCTTTCGGCCTGCCTCTCCTGTCTTGCCTGCCAGCCTGCCTCCTAGCTCGCCGTCCTACGTGACCTCACCGTCGCTGCGGAGCTGCGGACTGCTAAACTGTCGCCACTTTCGAGGACTGCTGGGGGGTCCAGCGGAGTGACGCTCTACGCGGACTCAGATTAGGCCTCACCATCCCTGGGGGACTGAGATCTGCGAAACTGTCGCCACTTTGAAGGGCTGCGGGGGGTCCAGCGGAGCGGTGTCCCTCACGAGCTTAACCGCACCTCGCCAATCCCTGGGGGGCTGCGAATTGCGAAACTGCCACCACTTTCGAGGGCTGTTGGGGGTCCAGCGCAGTGGTGTCCCACGCGGACGGAAATTAGACCTCGCCATCCCTGGGGGGCTGCGATCTACGAAATTGTCGCCACTTTCGAGGGCTGCTGCGGGGTCAAGCGGAGCGGTCCTCACGCGGACTTAACTTATACCTCGCCATCCCTGGGGGGTTGCGAACTGCGAAACTGTCGCTGCTTTCGGCGGCTGCTGGGGGGTCCAGCGGAGTGGCGTTCCACGCGGACGGAAATTTGACCTCGCCAACTCATGGGGGGAGGAAATCTGCGAAATTGTCGCCACTTTCGAGGGCTGCTAAGGGGTCCACGCGGAGTTGTGTCCCACGCGGAGTTTGTTCCCCGCCGAGAAACAGAGGGTGGGACCCAAAACTAAAGACCTCCTGAGGTGAATAAGCGCCAATCTATGATGATGTTCGACCCACCCCTCATGCGGCCTGTCGCCATTCGCTAATTACACTGTTTTTGTCGGTCTCCGCAGGCTCGGGCGGCCGATCGCGCCGGTACTTGTAGATAGTGCGTGTCACAGAGACGATGCGTCGAATGATGCATGCGACATCCACATTTGACACCAGCCCATCAATTCGGAGTGACACCGGGGACCTTCAGTCCCCAGTCGAAGTGACAGGGGGGGCATGATTTGTCACAAATTTGTCCTCCCCAGCGTGTCATCAAAAGCAGAGGGTCAATTAGGACCGAAACTGGCCACAGCAAAGTGTGGTTTTTGTCTACGTTGTCTTGTGCCCAGAGGCTGTTCGCTTCTTGTGGCCCTTGCGCCGTCTGGGCGCCATCCTTGACTCGACATGCCTTCCACCCAAACTGGGTGGCAACGGTTTGTACTGTTACTGCGCTTCTGCGCCGCAGTGCGCGGGCTGAGCCGTCTTGGCTGAAGGCGCACCCTCGTTTGCCGAGAGTCGCAAAAGATTCCTCACAGGCGCACGCTGGAGCGTCACACGCGGAGAGCGGCTGAAGCGGCAGAGGGACGGGCAGGGCCGAGCGCAGAGCAGAAGGTCGGAGGACCAGGCGTCCCTTGCCCTGGCATCCTCCTCCTCCTCCTCCTTCTCCTTCTCCTCCTCCTCCTGCTCCTCCTCCTCCTCCTCCTCCTCCTCATCGGCATCCTCATCCTAATCGCTGCGTTCCCTCCTCCTCCGCCGCCTCCTCTTTCTTATTCTCTTCCTCCTCCTCCTGCTCCTCCTCCTCCTAAAGATATTGCGCAGCATAGCGCAGCATCCCGCGGCGGACTTAGCACGACAAGCGCCAGGCAGACGAGATGCTAGACGCTAGGTTGATCAGGTTTGGCCTGCATCAAAATAGGGACAAACAGGAGAGTCTGGTCAGGATGCAGGGGGCAGGATCGGTTGCGCAGTATCGGCAGCTTAGGAGCAAGCAGCATGTACTCCCCGGGCGCACGGTACAGTCGGCACGATATCTGGGACCACATCTAAACACGGCCAACACATTCGGAGCGGAACCGAAGCAACGTGCGCATGCGATGATTAAGGCTTTCAAGGAGATGGGGGATTTTGGTACAAAGCGGGGATCCCATATAAATGGAAACGCTCGATTCTCATATGCAAAGTTGTGAGCACAGGTCTTAGTTGCATAGAGAGCTACTGTCCGACGAAGTCGGAGTACAGAACATTTACTATGACGGTGGCAGGCTTGGCCAGAAAAGCTATTAGGGGACAGGCTACAAGGCACTTGGAGGACGGATCGGCTCGAAGTCTTACCAGTTACGAGGTTCTCAGGCACTGGCGTATTCTCCCACTCCAGATGGAGGCCACTGTCAGACGTCTCTCATGGATTCGTAAAGTACTGTTGGAACCTATGCGGCATCAGCAGCTGCTGACGGCTATTTTCGGACAACTGGAGCTAGAGACAGAACCGACGGTTTGTGATGATGGTACGCTTCACCCACTGTGTAACGAATGGGCTAAGCGAATCGTTAAAGACCTAGAGGAGGCTTGCCGCGCTGACAGCTTTGCGAGTCATATTGGAGACCTCGATATAGAACCAGGTAATTTTTTTGAGTCTGATTTCCAGGAGGCCCTTCGTGTTCTGGACCCCAAGGAGATCCGCCAGGCCTACCGAGCCCGCGCCATCCCACCCCCGGGCCTTAGCTCTAGTATAGCAGCAGCAGACGTAGCGGAGGAGGAGACGGTCCTGTCAGAGATTGCGCCGTGGAGATGTGAGCTCATGGACGATGTTACTGCGCCGACGCTGCCGAACGTGCTTGTGCCTGTGCCGGTTCTCCCAGGATCACAGTGTGAGGGTATGGTGTGCGGGATGTGTTTTGGATCGCGTAAACCATTAATATCACATATGCGAAGCAAGCACAAGCTCATCAACCTCGCCCCCCTCCTGACCCTAAACGATGAATGTGTCAATTGCGGTACGATCTTCGGGGAATGGAGCACGGCGGGCAGGCATCTTATGAAGGCCTTTCTGCGTGGACAATGCCCCTCGGACAGACGCAGAGCGATGAAACCAGCAGAGGACTTTGACCAGAGATGCAGAACATGTGGGTATGCGGACAGCGACAATCAACAGTTTTTTGCCCACATCCGCAGCCGTTTTCCCCGAACAATTTTGCAGACTCCGACTCCAGCGCGCCGACCGACCTCGGCCCCGACCGCGGCCGCCTCGCGCCCAGCCGACGCCCCACGACAAGATGCCAGGCAAAGCGGCGGCGGCGGCGGCACCAGGCACAGCAGGGGACGCAGCCATGGTGGACGCTTTCGCCACTGGACCAGCGTGGGCGGGCAAGAGGGCGCTCGCGGCGGCGACGGACCAGAGCGACCCCAACAAACAGTTCAAGAGCAAGGGCGCGGGCAAGGACTGGGACAGGGTGGAACAGATCGCGGTCACCTCGGCCAAGCTGGCGCTCATAGTCGCCAAAGACGTACAGGACCTGCAGGCCACAGTGTGCGAGGCCTGGGAGATGGACGCAGCCAAGCCGATCCCCACGTTCGCCCTTCAAGCAGGCCAGCAATACGACGCCGACGCCAAGGAGCTGAAGGAGCAACGCATGGTGGACTGCCAGACCGACACGGCGGCCCTCGGCCCGCCGCATCTGGTGATCGCGGCGGCGACGATCAAAGGGCTGGCGACCCTGGTGGACGCGGAAGCCAAGACGGTGCTCGAGGAGTTCTGGCGCACGGTGATCTGCGCGGAGGGGTCGGAGCCGCTGGGCAGCTGCATCACCCATTCCCACGCGAAGAAGAAGAACAAGTCCCCCAACAAGAAGGAGAAAGTGCGGCTGATCTTTTCCTTCGACTTGCACGAGCGCAACACGAAGCTGGTTCGGAACATCATCATCGCCGAGATCAAGAAAGAGGGAGGCCAGCGGAAGCTGGGCGCAGCACCGCGGGGGCCACTCCAGCGCGAGCTGAACCGCCTCGTCCACACGACGAAGTAATACTGGAGCTCGTGGGAGAACCAGTTCCACAGGTTCAGACGCGAGCCCGACTCGTGACGCCAGACTTGAGCCAGAGCAGCCGGAGCCGAGGGGCCCCGCGCTCGGCGCCGCCCGCGTTTCGCGACAGTCAGCGCGACCGAGCTCTGGAGACCGCGGGCTTCCTGAGTGCCGCTCCTACTCCTAGTCAGCCAGCGCCAGCTTTGCAATCCTCAGTTGACCCCACTCTCCTCACTCCTCGCCCCCAGCCTGTTCGGCAGGACAAAGGTAAGAGTCGAGGCCGAGGCAGGCGCGGCAAAGGCAATGCAGCGGCATAGATATTCGTCCTCGTTTATGTATGCTGTCCGACACTTCGCTCACACCCATCTTTTCTACTAGCATGGAATTCTGCGTGACTCTAAAACTTTTCAGAGTCACGCAATTTTGGACGCCCGCTGGCGGAAGAGAGGTTTCGTGCCCGTCGCAGGCGCGGCAAAGGCAAGGCAGAGAATTGTAGATCCGAGTGCACGCATGCCCCTAGCCTGCCAGCGCGGGAGTAGGGCGCGTGCAGCAGTGCCAGAGTGCTGAATGGCACCCGCGCACTTGTGCGTAGCGAGGGGGCTTGCCCCGACAGGTCCAGATTGACGCTGCAAGTTTTCATTCCACGCTGCAAGTGGTAGAGTCAGAGGCAGTTGACGACACGTTGGATCCAAGTCACAGTCAGTCAGTCAGTCCTCCTCCTCCTGCTCCTCCTCCTCCTCCTCCTCGGTTGCAATGGCACAGCGAGCCCCAGAAGCTGAACACCAACAGAAGCAAGCACGTATTCTTCAACGTCGCGCCCGAGCATGGGCCCCGTTCGCACGTATTCTCACATTGGTGGGCATTCGTATTCCTGACTCCGATACCATTGTCAAATCACCGCAGGACATGCTGACCGAGCTGCAGAAGCACTGGCTCCCGATCTTCGCCGACAAGCCCGTTGACGAGAGAGGTATGAAGGAGTTTGTCGCGCAGCACGCTCCCCCTCCTCTGCAATCATCCGGCTTGGTTCTTCCCTCAGTCG